TCCGCAATGTCAGTGTAGGATTTCGATAGGCTAACACAACCAAAAATTAACTAATGCAACCAATTAAAAATGCTATGCCATATTTTACCATCTAATTTGCTGCAGCAGCCAATCTTTTTTTTCAGTGCATGAAAGATGTCTCAAGTCTAGGACACTTAATGTCTATCCGTCGAGTTACTCCGAGCAAAAGTCACTCGTCACGTCGAGAGCGAGCATTAGGGAGCGCCTTAGAGCAGATGAATAAAAAAATCAGCGAGGTGCGGCCACGCCGCGAAATAATAACTTCGTGTGTAGCAAGACGACGCGCTATAACGAGACGGTCGCTTTCCTTTCCGGCGGAAAATCACGGTGGACGAAGCGCGAATATGAAAAATGCGTCCGCTTCTTTTCGGTCGCGCTCTATCGTACTACTCTCCGATGTACGCAGAACGGAGCAAAGAGCGTTCGTGGAATTTGGAGAAATCTAGATGGAGAGAAATGAAAAAATTGCAGTAAAGTGGAAAACTAGAGGGAACGGAAGTAAGAGACCGGGAGCCTCGCGATTACCTTGAGTGATATCTCGAGCTCTTCCTCTCTCATTCTGACCGTAAAAGGTGATTAACATAATATCCCAGTGCAACGCGAATCCATCCTTCCATCGATCGAGCGTAGATCAGCGTAGATCGCTGTTGGCATGTGAAAATTTTAGCGTTTATTCGAAAGCACCGTGGATATTAGAAGGAGAGAAAAAGAGGGATTCTTTCTCTCTCTCTCTCTCTTTCTCGTTCACCTTCTCTCTCTTCTCGGTACTGCCGAGTCGATGACTTTGCGCCTCGACCGAGTCATTATTCAGAGCTCCGACACACACGGCGTCGCGCCGCGTTTCTTCACGTCGCCCGCGATATACGACTTTCTCGTAGGAAAAGTCTAACCCGCGAAACGGAACGGAACTCGCACTCGCGGAGGAGAGAAAAGCGCAGTCCTTCCTCGCGCCACGACGAGAGTGGTACGATACGGAACGGAACGTTACGGAGCACGCATGCACGCACGCATGCACGCACGCACGCAGGCATGCACGCACGCACGCACGAATGCGCGCCGCTGACCACCACTGGCCGACTGAAGAGAACACCTGTATGGCCAGGAGACACCTGTCGCTGACGCGCGCTTGCGGATCTGGTGATTTCATGTATCTAGTGAAACGCCATGTAAAACACTAGTGCGGCTAAACTCGCGTTCCTCGCGTTCAACTTGCAACTCTCCTCGTGCCATAAATATTTAGACACGTATGCGCATTGTGTCTATAATTAAACGTACGCTGAGAAAGAAATTGTTCTTTCCAGTGAATTAATTTAGCTCGTCTTTAATTTTTTCAATGAATTATTTAAAAAATTTATCAATTTTATATTTATATACAATTGACATTACAAGAAATTGTTTATTTGACTAAATTAATTTAGTTCGTTTTTATTTCTTCCTCGAGATATACTAATTGCATATTGCTTTTTTTTTATAATTGATATCTTTCCTATAATCTATAATAAAGGATCCGGAATAAAGGTTTTTGAATAATTTCATTTTCATAAACAAAACTGTTGCGTTTATTTTATCAATTATTTCTTACATATCTAAAGTATTTTTATTTTCACTCGCCACAAATTCCTATGATATAATTATTCGATAGAGAAATCGTTTTCCTTTCTAATTACAGAAAAAAAATTTGTCTGAATAAAAATTAACAGGGGTTCCAGTAAACTTTCATTCGTTTTGTGCTTGTAATCGTTGCATTACATTTCATTATTATTATATCTACTTGATAGTATTTTTTATCTTATTTCTTACAAGTGCAATGTCACAACTTACAATCCTCTTTAGATTTCATGCACATGATTTAATTTAAAATATAAAATGAATTTTAACATATAAAATACTTGCTTTAACGTTTTCTCTTATAAATAACATTTTCTTTTTTTTACTAAATTACAATTTTTCAGAGAAATGTAAAATAAAGCTTAATTGAAAGAAATAGTACTTCTTATATGGGAAGTTGGTCGATGTATCATTAATCTAAGCCACCTAAGGGATAACGGTATTACAAAGATTTATCGTGCAGATTTACAAAGATTTACTCGACGATGATATCGTCCGTAAGCACGCATTTCTTTGAAATTTGTAATCAATTTGGTACTATTAACACAGCTCTGATTTCAGAACAGAAGATGGATGCTAGAGTGATGTGCATACATACGCTTTCACATATATGTATCCGTACCGCGTACGTATTTCAAGATGTTTTGTATGATTTGCATCAAATCCCTAGGGCTTATTTTCTGATGAAATTAGAGTCGATCTTTCTACAAGTCTTTCAATTAAAATACCAAAATTATCTAGAGTCCTTGTATCATTAAAACATTTATTGTAAAAAGATTGCGCAAATCGTTTTGAAAGATAACTTGCAGTAATATTTCGATCATGGAAAAATCAACTCTAAATTCATAGAAAAATCAATAGACAAAAGGAATGGCGATGACTTTGGCACATTCCGTATATATGTGTATATGTGTGTGTGTGTGTGTGTGTGTGTGTGTGTGTGTTAAATGGATCAAAATATTGCTAAAATATCTATATAATTTTACATCATTTACCGTTATGGAGTCATACATTTATAAAGTATATATCTAATATTATCGACTTATTTTATTTTTACGCGTAATAATTATTCTCAAGTTTGAGTCATTCACAAACATGAAAAATCGCGATAAATGAGTATAATAAAACATTAGACACGATATATAAAAATATATAAAAATGACGAATTTGATAACATGAACATGTTCGAATGATGATTAACGAAGATGACGTAATTCATGATATACATTCTCTTCTTATTACTTCTCAATACTTAAAAATACAATGGTAAACTGACGTTTCGCGCCTTCGTAGCAAATATCGTACATTTCTCATGGATAGATAATTCGATAGATGCATACTCTCACGCGTATACTTCCAAAATGTGATCTTACATGTTTATAAGTAACAAGTACATCTTAGAAAACGTTAGCTGGCAGTTTGTGTCAGTATTTGTCGCGTGACAAACAGACGAAATAGATGAAAGAATATAATATTCGACACAATCACCACAAGACAGTCTTCCGCATTATCTAGGACGGACCGGATTATAGCTCCCCCGATCTTCGCACATGCAAGCACACGGCTTGCGAAATCATTTCGACGACTTCTGTAGATTCGTTTCATGGGAGTACGTCGTAATTAATTCGTGTTACGCTCGAGTGAGAAGAAAGAAGGAAAAATTATGTATTTATGGTCCGTCGTTTCGTCTCTCATGTTGTCGGTTCAATTTTCAAGAGATCGACTTTTCATCATCATATATATATATATATATAGTGTGTATGTATGGGAATTGTAATACAGGAAGTACACTTATATATTGTACACAAATATATTACATCGTTACTACTACCATCATCACTCGGAATTATCACCCTGATGATCGAGGTCTATCTAACTGACACTTATAAACGATTTTACAAAGGCCATTTAACGTCTACGTGTACAACATCCTTACTGCGGTCTAAAACGATATCTAAAATCTCGTCGCCGCTCCTGGTAAAGCTATCGAAATGCCAATGTACGTTTGTCAAGTCATACAGGTAAAAATGTACAAATATTCTTCGAGATTTATGGCAGACAGAATGTGCGAAGACGAGAACGTAAAAAGGAAGAAAAAAAACGAAGTAGAGAGAAAGAGACGAGGAAAAAAAGAAAACTTTATCGTTAAATAAAACTATACTACTGATCGTTCGCAAAATGATCATGGTCGTTCGAGTATAAAAGTTCGCGGTACCTCTCCAGAAGTACCGCGAAAACTAGTGTCACAAATAGATCAATGAAGAAGATCGTAACAATCGCCGTCGATGAAACGACGACGGCACAATTACCGGATTTCTTAATGGAGCAATATGGAAGAAGAATTCGAAATCCTCTATTCAATACGCAGACGCTTCCTTGTACTCGGAACCTTCCATGGTGAAGAAATCCTCAAGTTTCCACTGAAGCGTCTCGAAAGTCGGTCTTTTCATAGGATCCTTGTTCCAGCATTCCAGCATGATATTATAAAGTGTGTCAGGACAGCCGGGTGGACTTGGCATTCTATAGCCATGCTCCACCTGATGAAGAACCTCAGCATTCGTCATACCTGAAGAATAAAATGCATTTTTATGTATTAATTTAATCGTACATATCTCAAAAATGATTAAAAATGACTTTATGTAATTTTAATTAAAAATTTAAAAGTTAAATATAGCAATAGAAGAGTATTTTTATTTAAAAAATCTCACCTGGATAGGGTATTCTACCGTATGTGACCAATTCGGTAAGGAGAATTCCGAACGACCATACGTCGGATTTAATACTGAATTTGCTGTAGTTGGCGGCTTCAGGAGCGGTCCACTTAATAGGGAAGCGCGCCCCTATTCTAGCCTCGTACTCATCCTCTTTGATAAGCCTAGCCAAACCAAAGTCCGCGATCTTAACGACATTTCCGTCTGCTACGAGAACATTACGGGCGGCCAAGTCTCGATGAATATAATTCTGCGACTCTAAATACGCCATACCGGCAGCTATTTGCGCGGCCATGTCGATTAGTTGCTGCAGTTTTAGGCCTCTACCTTTTCCTAAAAGATCATACATTATTGCTACAACGGTAATGTAACGAAAAGATTCGACTGCAGAAATAAGTATCGATTTTGTAGTAGTATTTTGAGATAGCATCTTGAAGAATTAATGAGCAAATAAAATATGCAACTAGACCGAGAAATATATCTGTTCTTTTATTTAAACAGCAGAAAACTGGCAACTTTTTAGAGCAAAACGCTTCTAAATCTTCAGATTTTTAACGAAAACATTACCAGACAATATAGCGTTAAAAAGTGTTGACAATATAAGTTAAAGAAAATAAAAAGTAAAGATATATTCGGTCAATCCTTTAATTTAAAATACTGGCACATATTTTTATACAAAAATATTTCGTGAATATCCTTTGATTATTTAACACTAGAAGGACCAATTTGGCTCCAAGCACATTTTCTTCGTAAACAACAAATGGAAAGAAATGAAACGTACAGATAATTATGATGAACGTTTTAACAAACGTTTTAAACACTAATTTTATTAATTTATTTTATTACAAAAAGCAGTTATCATATTATAGTTTGAATTTCGCGAGGAGCCAAATTGGCTACCTCAGTCCTTCTAGTGTTAAGAAGCTTTTATCACACAATATAGTGATAAAAGGGCCAGTAAGAATAAAATCGTACCTTGCATACCTTGTAAATATTCTAGAAGACTGCCGTTCCTCATCAATTCTGTAATGATATAGATCGGTTCCTCCATCGTACACACAGCGTACAACTGAATTAGTTTAGCGTGTCGGAGTTTCTTCATAATTTGCGCCTCTGCAAGGAAGTCCTTCGGGTCCATGGTGCCTGGCTTGAGCGTCTTTATCGCCACTGGGGTAGTGTTGTTCCACAGACCTTCCCACACCTCGCCGAATTGGCCCTGTCCCAACTTCCTCAGGAATTTCAACGACGAACGATCGATTTCCCATTGGTCCCGCGTACGGTGACTAAGGCCTTCCGTTACGGGTTTCTCAACCTGTTGAACAAAGCCAGACTCGGAATCAGCCGTCGTCGGCAAGGGGACAGACACGCGAGACTTGATTTTGTGCAAGGAAGGTGTTTGATCGGCTGCATTAATGGCGAACTATATTTCGTTTCGTCTCCTTTGTGAGAAGAAATTCTATAGCTAAGCGTAAGAGACGTATTCTACGCAGTGTAAGAAAAAAAGAGAGCGCTAGCGCTTAACTTCCCTGTTCGCGGATACAAACCTACTTTTCTCCATGTCCTGCAATCGTGTAAGAACCCCAATAACGATCCCGGACGATAAACATGATCGCGAGATCGTTCTCCAACAGATATTTAGAATTTTAGGAGAAAGACGAAGAGGAAAATGAAATAACGAGCGATACAATATGCAGAATGTCTCAAATATGTCGCAGTTAGAAAAAAAACATGCCGCGAATCTCAGAAATACTCGATACACGCGTACATACATGATTTAAACGGGACAGCATGCACATATGCTCGTTTACGCTCGTTCGCCTCTCGAATAATGGATGAGATATGTAGGAACGCTTTTGGGACATCCTGTATATAGATAGATTTCGAGCACACATACATTCGGGCCGATTCTCGCTTTCGCGTCAATACTCACTCATATAAACTTATACATACGTATATGAAAAGAGTTCGTATGTAAATTGTTATTCACAAACGAGAGCGCGATATATCGCGGTGAAACGCAAAAAAGTATCGTTTCCTTGCTTGTGTGTGCTGCCAATCTCGGTTCTTTATATTTACCTATATATGTTACACCTCTCGCGAGGTCTACGATGCTAGATGAATTGGTGTATGAGATAAGTTGTTGTAAATATGAAATTACATCGAATGTACAGAGTTTTTATATACGAGATATCTCTAAGTGAATGACAATCTACTGCTTTTGAAACATAATCCCATATAGAACGGGCTTGTGCTGTATATACAGGCCAGACATAATGAAATATAAAAGCGTTTTACGTCGAGAAAAAGAAAGGAATCGAAAAAACGTGTTATGGCGTATATTAGGACATTCAATTTACCAAGAAAATCCACCGGGAAGTAGGGCAAGCAATAAACAGACAAACAAACACAATCTATTCAGACATCGAACTTCGCAACAAGTGCTTATCAATGCTTCTAAAAAACTGATATCTCTTTCTTTTGCAACAAGTAGTATAAAGTTAGATGTAAATATACCTCGTTTGTTGTGACATTAAGTTTCATTTAATCGGTCTCCCTACTCGCGATTTTTCAAAAATAAACAAGCTGAATTAGCAAATTAGCAGATGTAATCGATGTAATTGATATGTTGTAAATGTTTTGTACTCGGAACGATATCTCGACGATCTAAAGTATTGTGCATTAGTAGCAATAATAGCTTATAACGAAATAGTACAGATAATAACAAAAAAAAGAAAAAAAGATATTAATGTTATCAGTATTAATAGCAATAATAATATTTTCTGTAATATAACAGTAATAATATACTGTTGGTCGAGTTTGTCACCATCATCGTAATTAGGGCGAATAATCAGCGTATCGATCGGCATCGTTGCAAGTGTTGGAGTTTAGACAGTATTATATATGATACTGGTAGGAAATAAAGTCAGTTTATTCATTATGTAAATTCCTCAATACGATCCCAATTGATTTCCGCTGCCATTTGTTGCGTGGGAATATGTATGTGTAATTTAAAAAAAATTTCTATGGCCATATTATTTATAGTCGTTCCTTCTCATCACACGCTTCAATTGAGATCATTCATCTAATGCAATTCCATATTTCAATGGCAACAAATTTCTGCTAAAAGCAGTCTCATTCACGGAAATAAACAAAACACAGTAGATAACGCAAATTCTCCGTTCGTACCGTCTCATTATTAATAAAGACCTGCCTAACTCAGCGATAAACGAAACTTCGTCGCCGAGGTGACGTATGGCGCGTTAAGTATGACGTATTTACTTCGACGAATCTCTGTCTAAACTCCCCCTCATCAAATCTCATAACACGCGATTCTTACGACTGTTAGCAGCGGCGAATGATAGTATGACGATTATTATCTACTTATATCAATTATCACCGTTAATATACTGAGAAAAGGAATCGTTATTTTATACTGAGAACTGTATCGGTCACTCGTAGAACTTACCTGCACGCAAGGCTTGCACAGATTAACACACAGGCCATCCGCGTCTTTGCTGTAGTGCTCCACGAGATCCTGCAAATTTCTGAACGTGGTTCGCCTGGCGATGAAAAAGCCACCCTCGTCCAATTGACGAATACGATAGTGTTTCACAGTATCGCCGTCACGCACTACAACAATCATCGATATACATTCCACTTTGGCGCTTCAATGGCCTCGCAATTTTGCATACAGATCGCACGCTGTCGCACGATCATGCCCGATCATTATTCATTTGTTTGTTATCGTACTGTCGGTATTACGACCACGACCGGTAGTTTCTATTATCGTTCTATGACGTTACCTGAAAGGGAGTAATCATTGTGTCGGCTCTCGGAGTCTCTTATCAGAAACGCGCCGTGATCGTTTTCCGGCAGTAGCAATTTTTTCTCAGCCTCGATTCGCTTAATCTTCCTGAAATACCATCTGTAAATGCAAATTAGCGTTATGACTTTTAGATTCGCTCTTCCACTTACTAATCGCTAAGACCCTTTGTTGCGAATGACTTATTTCGCAGACTAAAGATCATGACCAGTACGATGAATCTTTGCCTGCCGATTATAACAAATTATTAATAGCGTACATAATTTTTGATGCTTTCCAGCGAGAGATACAGTGATCATTTCATCTTCGTTTAACATTGGTAAACAAGGCTGCAATGATTCACTGTGTTACACCGTGTCGTCTGTCTCTTGCTGGAAAGTATCCTTTGTTATTAAATATCGAAGCTCTCGTTTGATGGAGTGACTATGTTCTTGCTTTAGTCCAAGTATAGCACCATCTTTAATTTTTGAAAGTTTCTACCAAGTTTTATTTGTATTCCATTTAGGTCCATTGTATTCCATTACGTTCTATCAACGTAAGATTAACTTTAATCTCGGTTTATAACTTTAATCTCGGTTTAACTTGCTGTTTATCTTTTTCCTATTCTTAGAATTAGCAGAAAGCCTCAACGTTTGAGGCTGCTTTCCTTTTAGGGGGAGACACAATTTTATCTTTGTTTATTCATTGCATTCCAAGGGAGATAGAACGATATTTGTGTCTTCCTAAAAGGAAAGCAACCTGAATTATTATCCATGTCCACCTGGTGTGCAGGGACCGTCCAAACCAAAAGGTCAAAGATTAGCAATATCGGTTTTGATTCAAGAGATAAAAATTATCATATCTAGTTCAATTTAAAACGACAAAGCCACTCACGGTTCTGCCTCGATTGATTTCAATTTGGCGACGTAATTGCTGGGAATGTAGCCCTCCTGTCTGGTCCTTTTACTCTTGGCCAGCCACCAGTCTCCCTGCGTGTCGTTGATGATCTCCAAGTGTTCACCCTTCTTAAAACTCAAATCCTCGTCGGTGCGAGCGTCATAATCGTACAGAGCAACGAATATCTTCGCTGTGGTGACATCCATGTCTGGGATCTGCGGAATCGGCCTGATGGGATCCGGCGGCGGCGTCGGCACCGGGCTGACCTGCGACGCGACCGCCTCTATGCTGGGATTGCCGATCCTGTCCGGCTTCTCCTTCTCCACGTCCGTCGGGCTGCTGAAGCAGTTCCCCATGTTTCGGCCGTTGAGTCTATCCGACTACGATTTACGATCCTCTCAAACGATCTTCGAATCGCGCCGCTGCCGCTGTTCACGAAACGAGTCCTCTTTCTCACATTTAACGGTCTGTATCGCTATATCAAAGTCGCACTGGAGCAACCCGTTTAAAGTTCACAGTCTTATATATAGACACGCAAATCGCCGGATGCGTAGGCGTTAAAAATCAAGAACGAGTCATAGGCGGACCTTCGCGGCGGTGCCGCGTCACGTTAATCCGATTAATCGTTCGCGTGGTTCATTACCTGGGAAAAAGAGAAGAAGGGTCCACACGAGGGTATCACCAAGACGGAACTGTTGAGATCTGTCAGCTGCGCCGTCGTCCGGAGGACGAGAGATCGAGGATACACAGGACGGGCGGAACCGTCGGCTGGATATCGCGGGTGGAAGCGAGCCGTGCCGGAAGGATCACATCCGCGTGGAGAAGCACTCGCGAGGCGGTGCCGCGCATTCTCCGGATATCCCGGAGCCCTGGGACGACGCTCGGCTGCACCAGCGGACTGCCTGCCGCATCGCCACGGGAGAACGGCGTGTCCTGTTTTTCTCCAGATTATCAAGAGGACTCTAATCCTTGACACGACGGTTCTATCGAGGATTCGTCTCGATTATCTTATCCTCGAGGACGGTCCAGCGGATGGTACGCGACGATAGAACACGCGCGCGCGATCAGGCCTCTCACCTCGATAGAACTTAGAAAGTAGGCGAGTCGCCAGGCGCCGTCGCCATTGCAGCGGTCACGGATCCGTCAAAAAGGCTCCACTATCCCGTATCCGTTTTCGCATGCGCGCGCTGCCCACCGACGGGCGATATCTGGCCTTCCTCCTCGTATATACGCGACACACGCCCAATTCCCGTCGACGATCGGCGGTTCATCCGATCGCGACGACAACGACGACGACGACGACGCTGCTACCGTAGCAAACGGTCCGTACCTCAGGCCCGACCTGTCCTCGTCGTCCCCGGTATTCTCATCGTCCGCGCACACCGCGCTTCGCGAGAACGTGACGGGATCGCGAAGCGCCAGATGTAGGTATCCTGACGTTTCACGTTCAAATCATTCGCATCGCACACCAACTTGTCGCAACTCGCACGGACTCGCACGATCTAATCCCGGTGGAGGAGAAAGTCACGATTCGGAGCGCGAGTGACTCGCACTCGGAGTACTCGGACGCGCCTCTCGATTCTTGTCTCTGTTCTTGTCAGTTCTTGTCGTCGCCTGTCGTCGCCGCGACGCGCCCGACCTCTGGCGGATTCTCGGAGATTCATTCGCGAAGCCTGTACCGCTCGCTCGGTAAAGAGTTCCTTCGTTTATTTTGAAAAAAGTATATGCGGCTGTGTAGGCTGTGTTCCAAAATTGACTGCCGATACTGAAAATCTATAGTACACGTAACGTAAACTGTAGCATTTTCAGTGTTGGCAGTAAATTTGGAACACACAGCCGTAATATGATTATTGGTGCGTTCGGGGAGACGCTAATAGCGCTACTTCTGTCATTCTATCTTCGTTGTTTATTAGACGTAAAACAAGGATAGAATGACACAATAGCGCTAATAGCGTCTCCCTGAACGCACCTTATATGTAATTCCCCAAGCAGAACAAGTCACGATAACGTCGGGTGACATTAAAATGAATCGGAAATGATTGAAAAATGACTTTTAATGATCATTTTGGAGCCATTTTGACAGATCATTTTGATATCACAATGACTTGTTTTGTTTGGGAAGAAACACATCGAGTCAAGAGAAAATCAAAATGACTTTATTTTGACATTATGAAAATCAAAATGATGATTTTTGGTTACAAAATTTGACTGTTTATTAACGTTAAGAATCAAATTGAAGTCATTTTGATTTTTAGCGGAATGTGTTTATTTTGGGTAAATGTTTAACATGATGTCCCTTTGATTTTCTTGTAATTTTGTAAATTTTTGAACGACGATTTTCCTTTTCGGAATATTTAATAACAGTCGAACATGCACAAAATGTAATTGAAACTTCTAGCAAAACACAAAAACAGTAATGTTTATATCAATGCGAATATTCCCTACTCAATAATATAAATGTAATATCCCTATAAGCGCAAAATGTTCCTAGAATGTTACATGAATATTATTAAAAAAAAATTAAAATAACGTTATAATATTTCGAAAATATCAAATATTTTTTTAATATTACAGGAGTTTTCTATAGAGGTTATATGTCCACTTATATAATAAACCTAGGTATTATATTTTAATATTCCTGAAACATTATTAA